TAAAAAATGTATTCTAAAAATGTAGCGCAAGTGTCTATGAATTATATTTAAAAGAATTTTTTTTTAAATATTGATTAGAACAAAAATTATTTCATTCGTCAGAATGTCAGGTTTCTGTTGGACACTCTGTATATAAATAATATAATATTAATTGTGTGTGCATTTACTACTCGTCATAAATATTTAATACTCAATACCCGAAAGGTGAAAGGAAATCTTATGTTTTTAGTGTAAATTATAATCTGTATATTGTTCATTGTATAGTAATAATAAATTAATATATGAATTCGACTATGGTTATAGAAAAGCTCATCAATCCTACTTTACTGCGTAAATATTATTTTGTTGCGTCAGAAGATAAATATATTTTAGCTTCATCATTGCGAGTTTAAGAAAATGTCACGCACATTATTTTCTTTCAAAGAAATTTCAGGTTTGGTATAAAAATCGTGTTATTAGAATACAATTTTAAAGAAAATCAAAACTTTAAATATATTTAATTACTTATGAGTTATATTCATTCATTCATTCGAAGTTCTACTTCTATGGCTTAAATTTATATTGTATTGACTAGAACTAGCTTGATAGTCCTAGCCAGAGTGAAACGTCAAATCATTTGTGAACGTGTTTATGTGTTACCGTGTGTATCCTACCCATATCGAATGTTATGAGTTTGTGTGCAAATTAAAATGATTCATCAAACATAAAGGTTTCTACCGAATCCTGTAACATTTGTTTTCCAAACACTTTCTGTTATAATAATATAAGTCTAATAATATTATCATTATAATAAAATACCATGGACGTCGCATTAATAAATCTATGAGCTTGTATGTGCCATAYTCATTTAACGATAGATATGTCGTTTCAACCGTASACATAACGGTCCTAATAAAATAATTATTTATTTCAATACCCTCTAWCTTTAAAACAATATATTAATTGTAACTGAATAATAATATCGTTGTATTGATTTCCACAGTGCCATCTGCTTCAATTTCCGGTGGTCCGGACATTCACGTGAACGAAGGAAGCACCATTAATCTGACGTGCAYCGTAAAGTTCAGTCCAGAGCCGCCGTCTTACATCTTCTGGTACCATTACGACGAAGTATGTAAATTATGTGGTTATACAAATTATAGTCTTAAACGAATGAATCAGTGGACATTTAATGTAATATAATTTTATAATATGACTATGTAGGTAATCGTCAAAATAGTTATAAATTATTATTGAGTGGAGCGAAGAATGTATTATTGTAATCACGATGATTTGTATTTTTATTTTAGTGTCTGAAGAGATTAAATTCAGTAGAAAAATTTTTAGATCATCCTCTTCCATCCAAAAAGTGGGAGGGTTTCTGATAAMATTTACATAGTCGATTCTTTTGGAAAGACAATAATGACAATTCTCAGTACTTCAAAAGATAATCGAAAAAAAATTTCSAACATTTATGAAAATGATGTTAAAATTATTATTAAAATAATATCGTTTGATAACCACGAATTTTGATCAGTTGGAAATTTGTTGAAGTTTTAATCGAAAGTCGTTTTTCATCGTACGCCTATACAATATGATTTGTCATTGAATACAAATGCAACATTTCTAAGTTCCAATTCAGTKACCTAATCAATTACAAAATACACTCGACGCACCTAACGTACAACAAAACGAATATCTACCAATATAACAATAGATATTATAAGCTTAAAAAAATAAAAACTCAACAATGTCTAATTAAAAATGTAATGAAATAGGTATGCTAATATTGTAATAAAAATCAATATTCAAGAATGTGATACTGCAACACAATAATAATATGATAAAAAGTATTATTTAGTATTATCATTGAGTATAGATAGTATCTATACTATCTATACTCAACGGTATTATTAAGCAACTTGGGACGTCACTACGCGACCGATTCCCAGCGAGTTAATTTCACATAATATTATACCCATACATTCATGTAAATTTAGAGACTAACTTTGGCCAACCAATAAACAGAACTGCCTTCGTACTGAATTTTCACTTTACCTTCACCTGTGCCACATGCACATATACATACAACCCTGCAATGAACTACTTCTTGTCTTGCTGTAAGTGCAAATATATTTCGACCATCGCACTACCACGCCCGTTAACTCCCTGCCTTGCAATACAAACACTATATTATCATACGGTATGATATATGTAAACAAACACACAATAACAGTAGGTCTTGTATACATACAGGTAAAGCGTAGGTACTTGAGTTTTCAAATTCATACAAAACGATATTATAATATATACAAAATTATCGTTTCRATCGCACAAGTATAATAATAATTGTGTAGGTGTGTATGTATACCTACACCGTTTCCCATGATTTATTAATAATGACATAATATGGATTCTTAAAATTAAAAAATTTTCCTTTTTATATACAACAATAACAGTAGACTTAAAATCATAGAGTTACGTAGTGACAAAGAGATCATTGCGTATGGATTCGTAGGCATAAAATAGGCTAACAAAAAGGCAGTTAAAACAATCTTGTAAATGTCATAATAATGTCTAAACATCTGTTCTCGGGTTTTAGACGTAAATAAATAAATAAATTCAAGTATAAATTATTAAAATATGATACTAAATTCGGGAGGATTGAAAAAATAATAAAAACCTATGTATGTCAAAACCCTGAACTCGACAGGAAAAAAGAAACTGTAATTTAAATAGGTTACAATCCTCTAAATCACCTGGTTATTTTATGACCAATAAAAAACCTCCAACAAGTAATGATGCGTGCGTTGTTCTTTTTTAATAATATAAAGCACATATTTACAGAATGTCAGAAATTGAAAATTTAATGAAATTGATTCTACATCTCCGAGCGCATTAGTCAAGTCTTATAGTACCCCTCCATCGAAACATTTTAAACTTAATTTAATTTCTAAATGAATCTTATAGTCATATAATTTAATATGAAAACATAAAGCTATAAAGTTCCAATAGATATACTAATATCGGCCAGGTGGCCGATGTGCGTGTTTATGATGCATAAAAAAAATAATAAAAACAGTAATAACATACATTAATATGTAATATAGGTTAGGTTAAAGCGTTCTTGAGTTTTCGAATAATCATAATATTATTAAACGTTATTGCATTGCATTTATGTACGCATTATTGTCACGATCGCGCAAATAAGGTATAATAATAATTTGTGCAGGCGTCGCACCCACATTATGCCTAATGCGATTTAATAACAACAATAATATGATTATTCGATCTATTTAATCAAAAAGTCATCCGTTTCACGTTGTGYTTATTATAGTATAACCACACGGTCGATCTACGTGTAAAAACTGTTCAGAAAAGATTGTGGTCAAATAAAAAAGTGTATGATACCGCTAAGGGCGTTAGTGAGGGGAAAAAATACGATCGCTGGTAATTATTATTATACGTATATTTTAGGTATGTACACAAGAGATTTCGAAATTCTGCTCGTCGTGTGTGTGTGTGTGTGTGTGTGTTTACACGCGCGTGCAGACACGCGTAAGTGTAGGGTGGTTCCTTGAGTTAAAGCTTGGGATTATTGTTGGAATAAAACATAAAAGTTTTAGGATTTTAATTATTTTCCTCGGTGGGGTATCGAATCCCATACATTAAAAAATATATATATAGGTAAGTGTAATGTAAGTGTAATACGCACAGTGCAACAATATCATATTAGGATTATGCTGTAATTTACGTAATTAATGAGCACGCGAAAAATATACCAATATATGTATAGAATAGCTATATATATATTATACACACACAGATTGCTGTTACTCGCAATATTTTTGGGTGTATACATATTTATGTACACGCTTACCTGAATGGTAATAAATAATAGCTCTGTTTAGTTAATTTTTAATTGCAAAGTATAAAATTTCTTTAAGACCTTAATGATAATAAAATACACAGCACGATGTCCGAACAGGACCACGTTTTAAAATAATTATTCGTGAAATTTATAATATGTATTGTGTTAAAAATTGATTTAATAATAAATGTATGCCATGRAAATCTAAAATACGTATAATTTTCGAGTGAAAAATATGTATATTTTGTATTATGTAAAGGTAATGCATAATGTACATAATAGTATAAAAGTAAGTATACTAAATTAATTAATGTCTAAAATCTCATCAATAAAAATAAAAATTAAATATGTCCATTTTCATAGTGTGATTAAATATATTGATTAAAAATAACTATACYTAAACCATATTAGTATGAAATGTGACGGAAAGTTTGAATCTGGTTAGATATAAAAAATAACTGTTCAAGACGTAATAAAAACATACTCATAAACATAATCAAACATTTTTTATAGACTAAATAGTAAATACATTTTCTTCTTCTTCTTTTCATTCGCCCCTCTTTCAACTATTTAGGGTTGGCCACCCTGGTCCTCAATTTTYACTTACTACGATCCTTAGCATTCTCCTCACAAACACATTGAAACACCAACCATTCTCATATCGCACTCTACAACTTCGAACCATCTCTTTTTCAGTCTTCCTCTTCCTCTTTTTCCATCTACAACCATGTTCTTTGTCACTGAAACTACCTCAGTTTTTTCTCTTCTTAAAACATAACATATACATCTCAACCTATTCTCATGCAATTGGTCAACTATTGGAGACACTCCTATGCTACCTCTTTTATACTCATTTCTTATTCTATTTTCTCTCGTCACTCTACTCATCCACCTTGACATTCTCATTTTCACAACACTATTTTTTCTCTTCATTATTTTATATACAAATAGTAAATAGATGTGATGCAAAAATTGGCATTTTGCTATTTAGCACGGATTTTTAGAAAAATAAAATACTTACTCCAACAATAAATTGAGAATGAAATATTATATTATAAATGATAAAAAAAAATATGAATGTTTTTTAGGAAATATTAATTAATATTAATTAATATGCATAAAAAATTAAATATGTAAAAATATGCAAAGATATACATTTTAATTGATTTTGATTTTTAATTTTTCTTTGTTTAAAATGTATATTTTCTAGCTTATTGTGCTATAGATCAATAGTGTAATAATATAATAATATAGAAAAATATGCAACTCCTACAACTTCCGAGAAACCTTAATAACTCTTAATAAAACGGCAAGTATTTTCAAGTGAAATTATAATATCATCGCGTTTAAAAGCATCCGGATTACTAGTATATTTACTTCAATATATTATAGTTATATAGCATAATATAGGTATTGTCGTTTACGGAACATCAGCCTCATTGTGTGGTGACGCAATATTATATTCAATATTATATATATATACCTATATATATGCTTAAATAGTTCCACTCTCATAAAAAAACAATCTGATGGTCTCGCTTTGATTGTTAAGTGTTTCATGCTCGCATAAAAAAAAATTTAATGAACGATAGTAAACTTACGACTAGTATATTATAATATTCTATACGCGAATTGTTTTATTCTTCTCGCGTTGAAACCGATTAAAATTTTTTTTATATAATATGTCTTTTGTTCTTCTATGTATACGTGACTTACCGTAACAGCCAACAGCGCCAGTGGCGTACTGTGACGAAAATATGATAGGATTTAATCTCTACCCCACCMGATCGATGAAATTCTTGCACGATCTGTAAAATAGTCCTCTAGAGTGTAGAGCTATTCCTYGAAGAAAAAATTTAAAAAATTAAATAAAATAAAACAAGTACGAGTATTTTTTTAGAAATTTTTTCATTTCTGATCGAGCGATGAAAATTTACAAAGATTCCAATTTATTCTGTTGTCTGTGATCACTGCAGATCGTTAAAACACATGTTTTTTTGAGAAGGGRGGTGGTAATTTTATTTAAAAAAATATAGTGAACATTTAATACTACATAGTTGTTTATAATATCCTATACACGAATCGTTTTATTCTTCTTCGTTGAAACCGATTAAAAAAATATTCCATACATTATGACTTTTGTGCTTTTATGTATAATATATTTATAACTTACTATGACAGCCGACAGCAACGTACTACTGCAAGGAGAGATGTAATTATGAGRTTTGACCTTCGATCGATAAAAGTACAGGATCTGTAA